AATCAACCTCGTTGAGCTATCATTTGTGGCCAGGTCGCTTCTGAAAAAGAGCTGCACATAGGCTCGGTGGGGTCTTACCTGGTGAAATACAAAATAGTTGAGTTTACGTCAAATGCTCACAGGCGTTGGGGCGGGGGAATCCCTCGTGCAAACACGGACCTGGAGGCTCCCCCATTGCACCGGCTTGCCAGCTTGTTTTTCGTCTCGTCCGGCCCTCCCATTGGTCGTTTCCTACACTCACCACGCCTCCCTCGCTCGCTCGCGGCCAATGGGAGTCCGCGGTACAAACGGCCGCTGCATCCGGGTCCCGTGCGCCGCGAGCGCGAGCGAGGCGCGCCATGGCGGAGGTGAGCTTGGCGGTTCCGCGGGGCCGCGCCGCGATACCCCCGAGCCGCCATCCCGTTCCTTGCCGCGGCCAAACGCGCACGTTTCGCCTCGCGCGGCTCGGTGGTGCGGCTCGGGGCGACGCGAGCGCCGGGAGCCACGGTTTGGGGTAACGGGTTTGGCAAGGCGCTTGGGGGTGGGGGGGTGGTAGGGGGAGGGGCCGCGGGTCGGTCCCGGGGTCCGACCCCCCTCGGCCTCTGTGCTTCCGCAGGCCCCGGTGCTTCTGCCTCGGTAGGGCTCGCTAGGCGAGTCCGTGGTGCGCCGGGCATCGGGCCGGGGCTGTTGGGATTGGGGCCGGTGCCGGGAGTTGTGGAGTGCATTGGGTGTGCATCCACTGGTTTTAAGTAATAAGTGGAAAATAACTAAAAGCATTGAAATGCCATATGTTTGAAATGTGTGATGTTGACAAGGTGGCTTGGTGATATAGGAGCAGTTGGTTTATTTTAAAAAAGCCGGTAGTAGATGGCAAGATGCAAAAAGCCCAAGCTGATGTCCCGTTGAGAATAAGTCGATTAAGCAAGATCTGGGAGATTGTGTTTTTTACTAACTCGGCAAATGTAAAGGGGTTTGTTTTGATGTCCTAATGTACAACACGGTTTGATTTTGCTTCTCCTTCCCTCTTGTTTCCCGCTTCCCCTTAGTCAACAAATGACAGCTGGAGTCCAGGTAAGTGCACTGCAAAACACTATTTTCTCTTACATTTATCGAGGTCACCTGTAGGTAACCTCAGCAAAGGGAACCAATTAGGTTTCACCTGAGCAATGCATCAGGGGCTCAGTGATTTACTGTAGACGCTTCTGTTTAGGAGTAAACTCGTGCATATATAATGCTTTACCTCTCTTGGCAGATAATGCTCGATTGAAACAAACTTGCATTGGAGTGATGCAATGGATACACTAAAATAAGAATACCAATTTCAGAGTAAAATTAGACCATTATGCAAATATAGGGTATACAAAAGTAGTCATGAAGCCATTATTCGACGCCAATTTGTAAACATTTAGATTTTTAAAAATTGCAGTTATTAAACGATGTAAAGTTCCCACTTTGACCAGTTTACAATAGTTTGCATGGTTTCATTTGCGAACTGAATTATAACATTGATGGTGTAGCAGATGTAGCATCATTGTGTACATCTGAGATGAATTACAACTGATTTTAATATCTCCTTTGGTTCTTTCGGTAAAGTCACGTAGAATGAGAATAAAATAATGAAATAAAATAAGATAATAAAATTCTCACGTTTCGGCCACAACACAAGTAGCCTTCTTCAGGTGAAAGAACAACTGTCGTCCCGACAGAACTGTCGTCCCGACAGTTCTGTTCTTTCACCTGAAGAAGGCTACTTGTGTTGTGGCCGAAACGTCGTGAGAATTTTATCGTCTTATTTTATTTTATTCTCATTCTACGTGACTTTACCGAAAGAACCAAAGAAGATGAATCCTTGCAGTCACGAAAGCTTTAAATTGAATTTAATATTTTTGGAATGTAGCAAAGTCATTTTAAGATTGTTTTCTGTTGCGTCGTTGGGTCTTTTTAAGTGACAAGGCACGTGTCGCCTGTTCTTGCAATACGTTAGCAGCAGGGAAATGTAATTTGTTTGGTGCACAGTACAGGAATGGCCATAAACTGGTATTGACATCTTTTTCAAACTGTACTTGTGAAGTTGTGATAACTGGGATGGCTTTGATATCTTACATTAAGTGCATGCATTGTTAAATGACAATCTTATTTTCACACATCTACATTTTTATTTCCAGAGAGCCATGGGGCTAATTGCATAACATTCCTAAATTTTGACTTAAACATTCCTAAAGTAAAATTTCCCCTTATTTTACACTTATTTACATTGCAACAGAGACAACATCTTACTTAACATATTTTGTGAAGCTAATAACTGGTTTCAAGGGCTTGCAAGCTGACCGCTAGCTCTTGCCATAAAGATGTATTGTTACCTTCCTGTAGTTGATGGGACTGTTTGAAATAAATGCATCCCCACTACAACATTTTGTATGCATTCAGCTGTGACGTTTCCTCAGACTATCAAAGTGTATACTGAGACACATTTTACAAGAGTACTCATAATAATACTTATTAAAATATAAACCTCTGTTATGAATAAAATCGAATTATTACATGTTTTAAATAAATAATTTCGTTAGCTCACTTTCTGTCTTCAACTTGATCTGAGGATGAGGTCTAGATGGGTAACGTGCTTCTATGCACTCACTTGTGCATGCCCCTGTTCAGCGATGACTCGTGTTCAACACCTTTAATGGCCAGTGAATGTAGGGTAACCTGGAAGTGTGGTAACATCACTTTTGGTCGTACAGTGGTACAATATTATATAGCAACTCTAAACTACAGTACTTGGCAAATTTCATATTCATTGTCAAGTAACAATTATAAACAATTATAACCTTATTGCAAACCTTATGTAAACACACATGTATGCTGGGCAGATTAATTATATTATATTTTTTGTAGACCTGAATTTATCTATGCCCCATGCTTCACCAAGGTTGTCAAATACGGCATGCCTTGCTTGCATGCACGTGAGTTTTGCACTGACTTTGAAGAAGAGCTACATGTGGAAATGGATGTGCATAGCATAGTGCCATAACCACCTAGGCAGTGGCTCCGAACTCTGTTGGGTTTCGATAACTCGGTGCACAGACACACATTGAGCTTGGGGATCATTTAGATTTGCCAATAATGGCTTATTGCCAAAATATAGATTTTTACGTCTAGTATTTCATATTTGATCATTTTACATGTATTTATATATTTTATGTTGATTCTCAGCAGGAGAATTCAGAAAATTGTGCTGATGGCCCCAATAAGTATTCATGTAATTTCAATGTTTTGGGGAAAAAATGAATCAACACATGTAACATCCACTAAGATACCTAGTCTGACTGGCAATGTGGATTAATCGGTACATTGTCTCATCACACCACTGCCTCATAATCACAGAGAAGCTTGTTTCATTGTACATTTTGTCATCAGGTATACCTATATAGCTAAGAAGTTGTTTTAGTGCACATAAACATGCATTACCGTAGACAAAACTGTTGATGTGTATACTCTTTATCCAAGTGTGAAATCTTTTGTTTATACTATGATGTATTGTATTTTGTTTTTTAAACTTTATTCACAAGTTTTTTTGAAGTATGCATGAGTCACACATAAATTAATTTATAGGTATGCAAACCAAATTGTTTTTCAAAACTAAATGCCTGTCCTGGGACCCATCTACACTTATTGAATAAGCACGTGATCTTGTCTCACCAGGGGGGGTACCTCACTGCTTAACCAATACATACATCACTTGGAATGGAACTTTCTACAAACAAACTGAGGGCACCCCAATGGGCTCTCCCCTATCTCCGGTTGTAGCCAACATTCACATGGAGAAATTTGAGACTGACGCCATCCAGACTGCCACTCTGCGCCCAACCTTATGGAAGAGGTACGTGGATGACACTTTTGTCATCTGGCCACATGGCCGGCCTGCTCTAGACCAATTCCTCGACCACATCAATTCCATACACCCAGCCATCAGATTTACCATGGAAGTCGAAAAAGATGGCAAGCTACCTTTTTTGGATGTCCTAATAAAAAAGAGACCTGATGGTTCAATGAGCCACTCTGTCTACAGGAAAGCTACCCATACGGATGCTTACCTGAAACCGGATTTCCACCACCATCCATCCCAGAAGAATTCCCTCATCAAGACTCTGCACCATAGAGCCCAATGCATATCCGACCAGGAACACATAGCCAGTGAACTCAAGCACGTACACCAAGTTCTTAAGGCTAATGGTTACTCCGACTACACAATCCGCAAAGCTATCACTCAAACCATGAAGAAGGACCCTCTTGAGGAGCCATTCAAAACCATCACTTTACCCTACATTGTGGGTGTCACAAAAAATATCTCCAAAATCTTGAATAAACACAAGATCCAGGTCCGATTCAACATATTACATAAAATCTATGATCTGGTTCCGTCTGTAAAAGATGTGATTCCGCACATACAGTACCCTGGCATCTACAAACTAAGTTGCCTCTGTGGTAGTAGTTACATTGGAGAAACCAAACGACATGTCTCGGACCGCATTCGTGAACACAAAGCAGACCTAAAACACGGTAGGACCAACACCTCGGCCGTGGCAAATCACTTATAATTCAGTAGGCTCACATGACATTGACTTCTCCAAGACAGATCTTTGCAAGCCATCTGGCTACCATGAGAGATTCGTTCATGAGGCTATCCACATATACAAACACGGAGACAATTTCAACCGAGAAGATGGATTCTGGCTTAGCAATCATTGGAAGGACTTGATAAACCATTTCGGGTCTTAATTGATTGTTCACGCTTACGGTGGCTTTCAGACCACATCCATTATTTTCGTCTCCCCCCTCCTCTTTTCCAAACATAGATGGACTCGTCCATCTGAATAACTGCCAAATCGCTCTCCGTGGTGCTAACGTAAAAAAACGCCACTTTTTTCAAATGTTCTTGCTGTGGTTTTCACACCTGATGATGATTGCTTGTGTTGCAGTCGAAATGTCGTGAGAATTTTATTGTTTTATATTTTTATTATTTTATTGTTTCCCTTCTACGTGACTTTACCGAAAGAACTAAGAATATGAATCCCTGCAGTCACGAAAGCTTTAAATCAAAATTTAGTGTTTAAGTAATAATTGAAATATATCTATTATGGTTTATTTAAAATAAAGATTTGTGGATTTTTTTTTACAAATTTGTGGGCAAGAGATGTATGATTTTGTCCCTGAATTGTTAAAAGGTCCGTAGTGAATTATATTTTAATGCCACTGAACACTGGGAAGCCATATGGTCGGTAAATAGGGTAGGCAGCATTTTTGCGTGTAGCACAGCAGGGGAAACGTTACATGTCGACCTGCATAACACTGATGTGGTAGCCTGCTTCAACAGTTTAATGAGGTCTGTTATAAAATATTTTGTCCGGTTACGTGCTTCAGCAGCAGCACACATGCCCTGGAAAACTAGCGAACACCACTTACATTTAGGCTACTTAACTAAATGTATTTTTTTATGTAACTGTTAAGGTAATAATATGTACTTTGTAAGAGTAATAAAAACCCATCGGAATTATAAAAATGTAAAGTTTAAAAAATAATGAAATTTTAGTTACTTCTCCTGTGGTCATCACACAATGACCTATGTTGGTGTTGGTTCTGTTCCACAGCCTTCTGATCACCTGGCAACTGTCCTACAACAAAACATTTTTTGATTGGATTCGGACAGCAAAAATGTCACCACGACCAGGTTTCTATTTTACCGATCAACAAATGCATTACATTTGAATGGAGAAGATTGGTTAATGTGGAAATATGGACAATGGTAGGCTACAAGGACTGGCGTGTGGAAACCCAGTGCTCGCAGCTTACTGGTAGTTCGCTTCAGGAACTGAATGTGCTCACATTGCCCGCTTGGCATTTTGTGCGATTGTTGATGCAGTGTACTCGGCAGGCTCAGAGGACCAGGACTTTGACCCGTCAGCCGAGATGCTGGTGCATGAGTTTGACGATGAGCGGACGCTGGAGGAGGAGGAGGAGGAGGCACGCGAGAGCGAGCATAACTTTTCTTCCGAGGTGGAGGACCTGGAGAAGGTGGGGAATCTCTCACACCACTGAGTATGCGCACCACCTTTGCCCACAAACACCCGCAGGCACTTCTGTCAGCCAGTTTGATGAAGTATAGCTCTGCTAATCCACGCTGATATAAAGGTGGGGTTCAGCTCACCTCAAACTAGGTGACATGTGGCCTGTGTTGACTGGCAGCAGTGCTTCTTATTGTTAGCGTGGCACATCTGTTGTGTTACTTGTGATATGTATGACAGAACGTGGGACAACCACGAATAAATGTAGTGTTGTGTGCACAATGGGGATTAGCCTTTATATCTCTCGCTTGCATCTTTGTAGAATATTTGTAAGATGTATTTAAGTACCCCATGGGGAGGTGTTTATTTAAAATGATGCTTTCTTTTTTTTTACAAAAACACATAGGCAGTCACATAAATTGTAAAGGTAAAAAAATATTTGACAGTGATGTTCATAAACCTGAAAAAGTTCAAGATATAGCTCTGAAGTGTCTTGCTTACTATACTGCTAGCAGAAGAGTCCACTATATGGAGCTCTAGAGAGCGCCTCTAAATAGCATTTCGGCCTACTCTCCGGATGAGGTGGGAGTACCACATTATACCTCACCACATGTTACTTGTTGGTTGACTAATTGCAATATACCCGTTTACACAATAGGATGGATAATTTGTGGGGGGTAAGACAACATAATTTCAAATGCATTTTATTTTGTGTGCTTTTGGTGTACAATAGTGGCTGTACTGAGACCAACTCAATACACTTGAAAACCTGACTTGGTTAAATAAAGGACATGGCTTGAATTAGATTGATTTTTATGCCTGGGGATTGTTTATGATCCCATAGACTCACCACATCTTGTTTTTACGGTTTAGTCCTCGCCAGTTATGGACCAAAAGAATTATGCTCATGGGATCAGAGCAACCGGCTGCTTAATGCCTCCCATGAGCTTCATCCTCCAGAAACCTGCTGCTTTTAGACGACACTGAGTGCAATGAGAGCATGGTCTGACTTCTCAGCCACTCAGAATAATGGCAGGGATGGGTCTGTTGCCCATGGCTGCAGGAGAATTGACATGACTTATGAGGTTAATTTAGTGGGAGATACTGTAGACATTGTACACATGGTTTAAATAAACACTGTTGAAGTGCACTCATATACTGTTTTGAATTCCCCTCCAGATTTGTTTTTATTGTGCAGACTTGCCCACAAACATAGCTGTTTGTCATGCTTGAAGTGATTAAGTAAGCAGTAGACATTATTTGCAAGTGTGTAATTTGTCATTTGGTTCAGCAGTGTGGACTGAGCAGGCCCACTGATGGGAGCATAGATCGTGTTAGTCTCAGGGTCCCCATCTAGTGCATATATTCATGCCATATCTCCACCCTCACAGTGTCTCCCACAGAAAACTTAGAGCATGAGAACCATTTCGTTATCAAACCAAGAGTACATAAAATTAAATCCTTTGACTTTAGGAAGTTATATTTCTGTTCACTATCGTGATGGTAACCAGGTTTTACAAATCGTGTTTGCATACTTTATGCTTCTCAGTGGTTGGTGTAATTCTTATTCGCTTTTAAGTCCTTAAGTTATCGTGCACCTTCATTTGTGAAACATTTAATTTATTTATGTTAAAACACATTAACATTAGTCTGATAAAACAGCCTTTGGGAATTTATAAAGAAGCTACAATAAATGAATGTCATATTTAAATAATAAAGCTTCTACATTTGATGTCGGCGTTTTATATTGTTAAAAACATGTAGAATATATAGGCTTAGGCAGTGTATGTAAGAATAATTTTATGTTTGTGTTATTCAATTGATGCAGTGAACTCCTCACTGGGATGGTGTTGCTAATAGGAGGATGTTCCTGCATGATTGCACCAGGTATTCTGCAACTGATATGAGCAATGGGAGTGGATTATTTACAATATTTTGGCTTAAGCAGCAGTAAACCTCCAAAAAACTACGGTGAGCTTAAATAAGCTTTAATATGCACGTGGAGGCATATTTGTGTTTTTTGGACATGGCTTTGGTCACTGGGTGCCTGGCTGAACATTGTGGGCGATGTGCATTGTTTGAGCAGGAGGGTGAGATGCCACTCGAAGAACTTCTGGCGCTCTATGGGTACGGTGCTCCACTCACAGCTGCGGCACTACCCGGGGGAGCGAGTCCAGAGAGCGACCTCCCTGACAACCTTCCAGAAATGACGCTCGATAAGGTGCGTGCTTGTGTGGAGTGTAAAATAATGGCAATTGAATTGCACAGCTATCCCAGTTGTAAATATTAGTGATGTTCGCGCCATTTATCCTGTAAAACCTCACCAAGTCTCAACATTTAGGAGGATGTGCCATTTGAACGCTGAGCCAATTCCTTTAAGGATTGTTTTGGATGTGGTAGGAAACCGGAGTACAAGGAGGCAAGCCACACTTATTTACTACTATAATGAGCCAAGAATGTCTGTGTGTCCCGTCACTCCACATCGAACAGCCCCCCTCATTAATAATCATGAACAGGTTACGTCCTCCAAATGGACACCCCCACCATTAATATTAATTAGCGGGTGACGTCACTCCACATGAGGGTGCGAGGTGCCTCCTCCGCCCTCCTCAGCGTCAACTTATAACCCTCACAACAAAGGCAGAACCCTCACGTCACGCGATCTTCGTAACGCTGTTGAGACATCAAAGTAAAAAGGACGTCATGCTGAACAAGGGATTATAACCTTGAAATTAAATAAGTCTGTGTCACCGCGGCCTTACAAATTGCACACGAATGGATGCAATGAATATATCACGTCGCGGTCTGATTTTCGCTTGCAAGTTTCAGATTTACTGCAATACACCCGTCCTTGGACGGGCAAAAGGCTCGTAGGGGGTAACACTTAAAGGACTGCACCGCTGGGCTCACAAAGACAATTGCTACACTGACATCTTCCGCCTACCTGGCATCCTAGTGGATTTGGGTATTTTACAAATCTATGTGATCCACCATTCTCGTCCTGCAAAGTGATAGATTACAGGCATGTGTTATTAAGGTCTGGCTAAATACCATTTCTACCTAACTTGAGCCTTTGGTTATCTCTGCCTTAAATATGTGTAGCCCTTTCCTTGTGCTCTGTTGCCATCAGCTACCTTGGTGGCTGGGTGTGCATCCCTCAGGACCCATTACCCTGTTGTATGCTGCCTGACTATGTTACTCACAAACAGCACCTGCCACATTGTTCTACACAGGCAGAGGGAAAACTCGCTGTTCATGAATTTTTGCTTTGGTGCGAGGACTTTATATGCTTGTAATATCTGTTTTTTGTGTTTGCATGTCTGTCCAGGTTAGTATATTTTGTGCTCTTATGTCTGTTTTGGTTAGTTGGACAATGTTGTTTAATGACAAGGGATTGATGTATTTATTTGGAATTCTTTCAGGAGGAGATTGCCAAAGACTTGCTGTCGGGCGAAGATGACGAGAGTCAGTCCTCAGCTGATGACCTCATGCCCTCGGTCATCTCCAATGGCACCCAGGACATCTTTGGCTGCTCCTTCCAGTGTAAGCATGCCTTGCCTTGTATGTTTGGCTGTAGCATTGGTGGGCATTTCACTGTGCCCTTATTGTTCAAGTTAAATAAAACAAACAATACCATATGCTTATATTTAAAAACCCATTGATGGGTGAGAACCAATTGAGGTGTGGAACAGTTGTAAAGTTTTATATTGGCTTGGACTAGGGTAATGGTGGTCTTTGTCTGTTCATGTTGAAGCTGCTAGTCACTGGGGATATAGCCTTAATGGCAAATTACATTTATATGTATGGCCGTTTAATGACACCAACTGGAGTTGGGGCAAGTCTGGTAAAAATGAGCTGAACCAAGTGACAATACATGCAGTGGCATGACAGTGCATAAAACTAGAACACACAAGTAGAACATTCAGAATCTGAATCTTTCTTTAGACTGCAGGAGGAGGAATCCGATGAACTATGAAGCTCTTTTTCACAGATGTCCAGTTATGGGCGGGTCGCCAAATTGAGGTGTGGTTGAATTTACATTTTTTTACAAGTCAATATGTTGAAAATATGGACAATAAAATCAAATGAGAACAGAGACAGAAGATTAGACGGTGAGGTAGTACTCACTGGAACAGAGCCGATAGTAGGAACAGGAGACAAAATACGAGCAGGGCACAGTTAGAATCAACCAATGTAGGCATGGCAAATGATAACATATGGCAAGATAGTGACAGTGAAGTGCTTCCAACTACGACACAGTGTTGTGTACTCCTTTCCTTTAGTTGCAGAAAAATAAATAGTAAAAGGGAAGGATGGAGAGATGCACTAATTTTATCAGAATTAAATCTGCCTGCATGTCTACAGGTATTAAGGTTACCACGAAATAAAGAATACTTTTTAAATCTGATAATGTACATTGTTTTGTGGCAATATTAAAGCACAGTATATTAAAAAAAACAATATTACTACATTTTTAAAGGGGTACCTCAACGTAAATAGTGGTCAACTTCCTTAGCATGGAGACAGTTTACACGGATGTAAAATTGGATTGCCATTTTTAATCATACACAAGTCATGATAAAAGTGGTCCACCTACTGTGGCCAATGTTATAAATAATAGAGGTTTTCTTGGGTTAGATCACGTAAATATAAATGTGTCGTTAAACCGGCCAGCAACCAACACAGTCAATTAGTAAGGTTTGTCACGTAAATAAAACATGCCAATTCGTTACTAGTACAGCACTCCGGTGTGTTGGAGAGTAAACCCATAACATTTACAATTCGATCCCCTCCACACGGGAGAGACGATCCCCTCCACGCGTCGCCCTTTGAGAGCCGACGGCTATGCAGCTGCTTGCAGGCGACGTGAGCGGCAATGGCGAGCAATGCCTCTCCCTCTCTCTCGCTCGCAGTGGACACAGAGATGGACGGCAACGAGGGGACGGATTTCTCGGACGAGGACGAGTGTGTGGCTGCCGAGGAGAGGAAGACGGTGAGTGCTCATCTTGTGGTGTCTTTCAAACACGTTGAATTAGAGCCTTGGAACATTGAAGATTTCTTGCTCATGCAGACGGATAGGCCATTTAAACAAGAATATGATGCAGTGCCACCACCACCTTGACCACTTCATTATCGACACTAATGCTCTTGGATGCACTGCCAGCCACATTGAGCAACACACAAATGTAGGAATCTGCTCTTTAATGCGTACATCTCTGTTGTGTAATCTGCTGCCAGATACTCGGTCATTTACAGACTAATGTAGATTGGTGTTCCATTTAAAAATTGCTCAACGAATTGGTCATATAGAGTTGTGCTTAGTCTTGGCTCAAAATGTATTGAAGTTGTATATTTCTATGGTAAATACCAAATTTCAGTCGTCTGTTGAAGATGGGACTGCAAATGGAACAGCTGCAGCTCACTTGCGAATGAGGAGCGCGAGATGAATGGGGTGTTTGTATTGCACAGGTGATGGTGGGGTCGCAGTACCAGGCCATCATTCCTGCGGGACTTTTCCGCTATCAAGCTGACTCTGGTAAGACTTCGCCAGGAAACTTCATGGTGATAAGTTGGACAAGAAAAATTTCCCCAGTTTTTAAATAATGAATAACATTGAGTAATCCGTTCATGAGCACACAAATTGAGAAGATAATTTGCGCAAGGCTTTCATTCACGAATCCGTCCGTGGCAAGCTCACAGGCATTTCGCACTTATTGCAAACGTGCTTTGGCTGCCGCTGCCGCGCGTGCTGCCGTAGGTCCGGCGGACGAGGCGCAGTGGGACCCCTGCGTCCTCCCCGAGAGTCAGGTCCTGCTCTACCTGAGGGAAGCGGCGGAGGGTGGCGTGGCGCCGGCGCCGTCGTCGCGCTGCAGGGAAGGGCCCGCCATCTCGGTCCTGCTGCCTCCCCTGTTGCCGCCCGGCACCTGCCCCGACGACGATCACGTGAGGACGCCCCACACGTTTACACCGGTCGGGAGGCAGCGGCCGCTCGCTCGCTCAAGGGTTGCCGGAGGTGTTTGGGCGGTTCGGAGGTCAATGTTTGCGAATGGTTCAAAGTTGATTGATCAAGCAGTGCAGGTAGCTAGAGTGGGTGAGTGCGTTGGGCTGAGGGAGGAGGCAGTTGTGATGGGGTGATGAAGAGGGGAAAGCGTGATGGTGTAGGAGGGGAGATCAAAATCGGTCGAGGTTGAGGAGTTCAGGCTATTGACAATAGCTTGTATTAGTAGGTTATGCCAAGTATGAACTTTGTTTAGGATTTTTTAATAATTTGGGTCAATACATTTTTTTAATGGGGAGACATATTTTCAGTAATTTATTATTTTGCGTTTTTTTTGTTTTTCATGTGCACAGAATAGCATAAAGTATACAAATATTGTTGTCCGATTTCCAAATTATTGATGTTCAAATAGCTGTGGTTTGCTGCATGTTTAATCTAAATATGTTATCACAAATATTAATTTGCTTTTGTTTTTTAAACTTTAGTATTTGATACCTCTATCAACTGTCATTTTCCCATATTAGCAGAAATAGTACATTGGCATTCAACAGCTCTAGAATGAGACAATACAGGGATTCCCCTGTATCACATTCAGATCATGTCTGTTACCCGCGCTGCAGAAGGGATTCCTTCTTGCAGCAGATGGCACATTTCACGATGTTTCCATTGCATTTAATTATACCCTATTGGTTCAGTGCCTCCAAATAAAATGAAAATAACAATTTAGAATGTTTCTTTCTGTGAATATTCGTAATGTGACCGAGACCATCAATTTTGCAGCGCATGAGAGCCCCGTTCTGGTGTTTGTGCCACAGCTCATTACCCTGACAGACATTTACCCATTAAGGCAGCCAGATCCTGCAGTTGGTTGAGTTTCACCATCTTGTGTGTGTGTGGTTCCCCTTCGTGCAAATGAGTGCCTGTGTATGTTTTATGAATGTTTGATTAATTAAACCAGGTAAGAATCCGTTGAGAGCAGAAGTCTCTTTTTCAGGGGAAACATGGATCAAAATATATCAAACAGCAAAACAGTTTCTGGAATGCAAAACAATAAAAAATGCTGAAATGAAACAAATGACGTGAACAATATATAAATATATAAAACGTAGAAGAAACAAACACATGTACACACACAAAAACAAAACAAAATCATTACATATTTAAAACATTTACATTCATACTTTTAATGCCCCAACAGTCTATTAAGGCTTTACGGGGGATCTTTGTCTTTCGTGGGTGTCGCAGGCTCTCCGGGAACTAATGGCGTGTAACTACGACACGAGGGAGGCTCTGGCTCGCCTCCGGCTCGCTCCAGCACCTCCCAGAGGTGCGTCCTGCGGGTCACCCCAAAGTGCCCTTTTATTGCTACCGACTGAGCAGCAGCGGCAGCAGTCGAAACATTCATCTGGACGTGTAAACAGCAATGCAGTTGTGATTGTGAGCGCATTGTCATGAAAATGGTTCCGGTTCATGATCAAGCTCTCGTTGATGCATTACAGACGAAATGCACAAGTGGACGGACGAAGAGCGCCTGAAGTTCGAAGAAGGGTTCAGGTTGCACTACAAGGACTTCCATGTCATCCACACCCTGGTGAGATCCAAAGCAGTCTCAGCACTTAAACTACAGTAGCTCCAGCTACTGAAATAGTAGTTTGCATTATTAGGTGAACTTTTAATCATTTTAAAGTGTAGATGCCCATTTGAAAAGTTAATCTTAAAATTATATAATATATTATAACACAAAATATAAATATGATTTTAATATACATCATGATGTTTAACTTCAATGCATATTATTAGGAATTTTGACAGTCCCATTAGCAGTATTGCAACAATAAACAATTGATATTCTTAGCTCTTTCGGTAAACTCACATTGAAGGGAAACAATAAAATAATAAAATATATATAACAATATTATTTTATTGTTTTCCTTCAACGTGACTTTACCGAAAGAGCTAAGAATATGAATTACTGCAGTCACGAAAGCTTTAAATAAAAAAATAAACAATTGGTATATTTTATATTTACAGGAGATGTTATTTGTAGTATTTAAAATAAAAAAGGGGGTAAAACTTATACTTAACAATTATGTGAGAAATGCACATTGATAAGGCTAAAACTACTGAATATGTTATGATAACTTTTAGTTGTCTGTGATACAGTTATCAGCTCTGTAATTTGTGGTTATTTAGAGTCAATATTCGACCACATGGTTACTTCGTCAAGGATGCACGTTGCCATGGTATTACATGGTATGAAGTGGCTTTGCTATTATCTAAGACTGTTTATATTGTTAACCAAAGCAGTGTTTCAGTTTTGGGGCCTATTTCAAGTGTTGACAAGAAGGCAGTTTAATCAATATTTGGCAAAGCAAAAAAAAATGCCCGTTTCTCCTCGCTTGTCTGTTTTTCAGTGAAAATAAGCAGATGTGGCTTATCAACCAAGAAATGAACATGATTTTTGTTGCTTTATTTACGATGGTAAAGTGCGTTCTCTTTTTCCAGTGAAACGCATTCGATGTCGAGGTGAATCACCACTGCCGTGTGTTTGCGCAGGTGGGCACCAAATCCGTGGCAGAGTGCGTGGCATTTTATTACGTATGGAAGAAATCCCGGCGACTGGAGTTCATGCAGCAGAGCCGGATGGGCAAGCGCAAGGCCAGCCTGCAACCAGGACTTGGGTAAGTTGGCCTCCGTGTGCCGTTCCTCCCACCTGTATTGCGGACGCAGTTCGCCCACCAATAGCTGTGTTGGTGCCATTGGCTGCATAGGCAGTGTTGGGATGAGCAAATGTCAGGCATCTCTCCATTGCTACATTTTTCACTCACAACTGAATTGATTTACTTTTGTGCGTAGCATGCTTGTACTGTTACTTCGCTGACTTATATGCACATCGGATATATTTACCAACCTGACATATCATCACGGAACATTCTTTGCTTGAAACACCGATTAGCATCGCACACATCTTCATGTACAAATGTGGTCGAAACACACAATTCTCTATATTCTTAGCTCTTTCGGTAAAGTCACGTTGAAGGGAAACAATAAAATAATAAAATATATATAAAAAACAATATATCTTTTATTCTTTTATTGTTTCCCTTCAACGTGACTTTACCGAAAGAGCTAAGAATATGAATTACTGCAGTCACGAAAGCTTTAAATCAAAACACAATTCTCTCTTAGTGCTTGCAGCCGAGTTCGAACGGCTGACATCGTGGAAGTGGCCTCCGATTGCCGCCGTATGACAGTTCGGGTGACTGGTGCAATCGGTCGCGATCCAGTGCCCAACGTGGCTTGCCCGGAGTTGCATTGCTGGTTGTTACTCCCCCCCCACCCACGCCCCTGCCCGGTGCTCCAGGGATGGCGTGGAGTTGGAGGCAGAGGGCTCGGCTCGTTCGCTCGCTCCATTGCTGGCGGGGGGCTCTCGCAGGGAACGCGTTCCTGGGGACGACGGCCACGCTGCCGCCAGTGTCGCTGCCGCCAGTGTCGCTGCCGGTGGGTGTCGGCCTCGCCCTCAAAAACTCCTCCACTCGGTTGTCGCCGTGGGTAGCTCCGTGCATGAGAATCCAAGGAATGGTTACGTTGCTTTCATTTATAACCCGGGTGAATGTCGACTGTCGACTGTGAAGGCAGATGCACGCACTGAGGTGGGGTGGGGGGGGGGTCTGTGTTGGTCGTACTGTGCTGCTGGTGACAGTGAGTTGCTCAATACTAGTAAAATACTTGTCTGCTTGATAGGACGGTCACTCACACTGCGGTAATGTCCGTGCAGGAGTGTTAAAGTAAAAAAACAGGAGTAATGGTGCAGTGGCACCTGCAGCGTGCTTAGCATATTTTTGTTCAACTTGTTATGTAGCTCCAAGTTAAGGCGGTGTGGTTAGCACGGCTGCTTTGGTAGAGTGGTACCCAAGCACCGTCATTTGCCCGAAAGTGGACATGAGTAAAACTGTAACTTATAGTCCAGTAATTGGTTGCGTAACGTATATTTTAGATGATTAATTTCTGCTTGCTCTCACCTCGTGCAAGGGTACGATCCAACATACGCACTGTTGTATACGACCCTCAGACCTGGCGGTGCAAGTGCTGGAATCTCTCAGCTCGTCGGACCTTGGCCTCACATGCACCGACATGCTGCTTCTGCGCGGCGGCGGTGGCAGCCGTGGTGGCTGCAGTGGTGGCGACGGTATCGTTGTCTCCCCATCGGGGAGCCCGGCAGCACTGGGGCCCTTCCTCACGGCCGTCCTCGACCACCCGGCGGGCGGCAGCTGGGACGGGACGAGCGCGGAGTCGTCGTGCTTGCCCCTGGCCGACGGGGGCCCGTCCACGCCAGACTCGGTGGCGCACAGCACCACCAGCAGCTCCGTGGGCGAAGACCAAGAGGTGCCGGCCAAGCGGCTCAAGCTGGAACTGTACGGGGACGGCTCGTTGTCCGCCGATGCTGGCGGGTCATCGTCGTCGTCGTCGTCGTCGTCTTCGTCTTCCTTGTCGGCGGAGGGGAGCGAGCCGGCGGTGCGATTGGCGCTGGATCTGGGCGCCGTGGAGACGGCGGGCGGTGGCCGCCTACTGTCGGCCCACGTGCTGCGCCACCCGCCCCCCGCCGCGTCCGAGCCCTGCTCCCAGTGACACAACGGCGGGGAAAGAAAGGAAATGCACGAGCGGAAGCATAAAATGAACAATTTTGAAAATATAAAAAAAAATTACGTTTTAAACTTTTGTTGAAATGTAAAAAAAACGGGACAAAAGAGAGGGAGGATACAAAAAACAGTGTTTACATTTCACAGCTCCTGCACTGCACATTGGTGAGCTGGATTGACTCTGAAATACGAGGCATCGGTGATGTCTTTTAACCCACAGTGGAAAAAAAACGTTGTGGTAGACTTTTCTCTGTGAGTTTTTACACTTTAATGTGCGGCGAGCCTGCCGTGTGATTGCTGCGAACTGAGATGCGTGTGTGTGTGTCACTGTAAATATTATATACATACAGTATGAAGTACATTCATTTTTTTGGTAATTTTTTCGTTTACTTTTTCACAAAAGAATGCAGATAATTTAGGTACAAAAGATTTAGTTTTTTGCCGTTTTAAAGTAATATTAACATAGTAATACTCTATTGCGTTTTTTTGGCCTTTATTGAGCCATTCATTCCATCGTTGTGTGGTGTGGGATGTGGAAAGGGGCGTTTCATCTTCAGTGTTAATTTATTGCCGTCGTAGGGTGCATCGTCTGTTGTACTTTACACCCTGGAGTTGTGCTGGAGGGAGTTCCCCGCACCCCACGTGTTCGGCCTTCTCGGTGCAACTGGCCAGCCGTGACAAGGGCGGCCCGCCACTGCCCCTTCGGTTCGCAAGCAGTCGCCTTTGCCTAGCGGCGGAGGCGAAGAGCGAGGCGAGCGTGGGCAAGCAAGCTCACCGGTGGGGAGCGTGGGGGTTGCGGCCATATCCTGTGTGTGCGTGTTTTATTTGCTCGCTACCCTTTGTGGACTGCCGGCCAGTAAAGGGAGCCCATTTAGCCTCGGTGACGACGGCACTGAAAGTGTCCGCCGGCTGCAGGTACACTTTTTTTTAAGTTGAACGCTCTTGAGATTTGTTTTGTTCGGCTTATTTTTTTTTGAACGTCCCGTGTCGTAGTTGTCTTTTTTTCACCCACACTAAGTTTACAAGGAGAGTTCTGCTCACAGGCTGCAGCGACTGCTTTGGTTACAACAAAACGAAGATGAAAGAAAATGTGCATTAAAAAGAAAAATGACATTTACTGTAGCAATTGTATGTAATTAGCACTAGATGCAAGAATAATACATTTAATTTATTAAACGGGAATGTTTATAGTGTAATGTAATTGCAACATCTTAAATGCTGAGATTTCTTGCAACTTTGCCAAGTTAAATGGGTATATTGTCTCGGGGATTGTGAAATACAAGCATTGTTGTTGGGGTTTTGCTTGGATGGGTGGATGCCGATGAAAGCGTTTTAGTCTTAGGCTGCCACGGAGAAGTAGTTTAGGAGTCCGGTACAGTGTTTCTCCATTCTGTGTCTTTGCCACGGTCATTTGAAGATTGTTTTTTGCGTTCCCATTCTGCAGTGTCCTCATTTTGCTCCATTTTATAACAATAATTATAATACTACAGGTCTGTCGGTAACGCGCCAGCCGTTTAGGGTGCTTTTGTAAACTGTTCTATTTACCGTTTGCGTGCTCTCGGAAACCAAAGTTTTTTTTCCCTTTTTATATTCCTGTTAAAGTTGTTCCTGATGGTTTATTTTGTGGACGAGATGATCGCGTTGGCACTGAGGTCAAATAAGTGAACATCTCATAATTTTTATTTTTTTATTTGTATTAAAAGAAAAATAGTAACCTAAATATAAAGAGACATTTAATGAATGTAGTGTCCCTGTAATCCCCTTACAAAATTACTCAATATGTGGCAAGACATTGAGGGAAATGGGAGCTCTGCAATGTGTAGGTTCATGACTGCGTTTGATGTGAAAAGATAAACCCCTTGAGAAATGAAGGATTTCTAACGTTTTCAGAAATTGTACCAGACTTAAAAACCTTGCGTTGATAAACATATTGTTTCTCTATCAATTATTATTCTCAGTAGTTTGTCCATGTCAAGGCATTCATTACAGTGCCTAGTTTAGTCAACTGTAAAGCAACTCATGAAGGCGTGTCCAGTGTAAGGCAATTCCAGCTCTTGTTGCTGTCAATTTGTACCCAGACAGTTAAATGACTCCCTACTTATCCCAAAATGTGGAGAAAGACGGCAAAGACACTTCATCTTGCACTGTGCGAGTGGCCAGTTGGGAGCGGTGCGGGTGTTCTTGGAGGAGGGAAGAACTCGCCCCAACGATGTGCCCTTTACCACCGTGACTTGGCCTTCTGAATCCGCAAAGCGACCCAAATAAAGGGGTGCATCTCTCGTAAAGCTGACACGTGTGTAATGTAGCCAGATCATAATTTAAATTCAAAAACAGTTATGAGCTGGGCACATTTTCCTTTGCCCACATGACGGTATACAGTCACGACACCGTGCCTGTAAACCCAGAGTTGTGGTGGTAAAGAGTGAAAGAAGCTTGCAGCAGTTGGCTTAGAAGCTGAACCCAGGTGTGAGTGTGTGATGGGCGGATGAACTTCCATTTGGGCCTTGGGCAAATGCTTGGGGCACCGGTTCTGCACCTCCAATACTCTACACTGCTGGCTAATGCCCAGCTTTTCATGTCTGCCAATCTCATGTTGATGAGGTGTTAATGTGTAAATTATATTAATGTTTTACTTGCAACACATTTCAATTATTACCCTACATTCTTCTCAGATCTACTTGTCAAACCACTCTCGTGTGCGTGTTGCGAGTTTGTTGTCCTTCCCCCGCACCTCCGATGAGCACGGTTGCCTACGTACGGTGCGAAAGAAGGTCAACATGCACACATAATGAGGGATTTTATTGGTAAAAGGTGAGAGCTACAGTAATTGCTTGACGAGTAACCACTTACTCAGGGCAGCAAGTGTCCTGTGGGACCACGACGGACCAGCTCTCCATATCCCAGAAAAACAAATACGTGAGATGTACATTGCATCAAATAATACATGCGAGGTGAACAATGCTTAGGCTGCACAGTCTTATGGAAAACATCCCACACAATACTTGCAAGCGCAGTCGAGGGGTGTGTGCGCACGCAGCTGCTACGTTCAGCCACCAGCCTCGGAGGTGACCATTTAACTGGAGCGGTCTCGTAGATCCCGAGTTCAAATCCGCGCAGCCGGTGGTGATGTCAGGATATTCATTTTGCAAGGAATTGTTTTTGTTGCATAAGCCTCTGGCCCCAAGTATGCTTCACATTGGGGGTCTATTTTAATGTCTACAATTTTTTCAGCTGATTACGATTTTCATCAATTGGAGAGAATGTTTGTATGGATGTACACTACGCAATAACAACGTTGTCTAGTTATGCGTAAATTGAATGGTAACCTGAAGTAGTCGCCATTGTTTGGTGAAATGCGTATACATACTGTGCTGTATATTGGAACACGATGCGATGTGGATTAGTAAAACAAGCTTTTATGTAACTGAATTATAACCTATGGTTGTTACTCTTTGGTTCTATTCGGTAAAGTCACGTAGGTAAAAAATAAAAATAAAAATCACGACGTTTCGGCCACAACACAAGTAGCCTTCTTCAGGTGAAGGAACAGAACTGTCGGGACGACAGAGCTTCAATGAACGCTGCTAAGATTCGTAGCGTCTTTTAAGCTGGGTGAGAGAAGTGAGGCACCTTGACAAAGGAGTTTACATATCAAACAGGAGAATTTAGCATTGAAATAGCTGAGGGATTAGCTTGTGACTGGTCACAGAAATAGCTATGTTAAAGTCAAAGCCTACACATCCACAGAGGCACCTAGTACATGGACGCCAAAGGGGCTGCACTACCCAACTATCATACAGTAAACCGATGTGAAAAAACTAAGTCTAAATTACATCAATATAATCAATGTACTCAATATATTCTTCAATAAGCTGAGCTATTAACAGCAACTGGGTATACACTTCTATGGTGTGAAAAGGGAATTTTAAGAACTGCGAAAGTTTGGGGTACCACTACTTGAAGAAATATACTGTACCTATGGTTGTTTATCCATTAATCTCCAACCTCCCCATGGCTTTCCACACGAAAATCTTCAACCTCCAAATATTAAAAATCATCGAGTCCTGAGGACACCTCCACCGCATGCTTACACGAAGTCAGGCGGCACGATCAGGATCGCTTTCTCACATGCATCAAACTCGTCATTATAAATGCTTTTCTCAATTTAGAGTATATCTTGTAGGAGGTATTTGAAGGTAAGATATTTACGGCTGTCATGAAAAACGAAGTTATACTTCAGTATAAAGTGACATTTTCTACTTATGCATATCATTTGCACAATATAGCTCTGTCTGCATCATGTTCTTGCTGTTGGTCAACTCACTGATCCTCGTTAGGTCCCGGGTGTCCTGAAACCCGTCAGATATTCCAGACTGAAATGCCTGGCAAAATATCCTTGGCCTGCTTCATCATATTAGGGGCACCACCAAGCCACCTTAGATCCATAAACCAAAAAAGCACGTGTGCTTTTCTGTCATTCGTTTTGCTCATCAATTAATTTTGAGCAACACGAGACGACCCACCATGAAGGCAGTGAATTGTCCTTTTCAGGCGTACGTCTTTGAAGCCCTATCTGAAAGGCCGACTTGGTTGTCCAGCTATAACACCCATGGACTGGTGGATGGGTGTATCAGGTGGGTTCCTTCTCTTTGTATGCAAGCCGGGATTTGTGAGCTGGCCTCTTGAGTGTAGCCCCGGTCTTTGTTATCCATACTCGTTAAGTTCCATGCCTATAGATGAGTCATCTAGATAATTGAAAGTTGAAACATGGCTTTTCAATGCATGTATGTAAGCATGAGCGTATCGTGAGCAGCCTCTGAAAGCAGAAAAGTAACATTTAAGGGGATTCAATCTTCACCGTTCATGGCAGGCAGCACCGTTTTGCAAGAGTTGTGGGATGTATAATGACCCCATTTAATCGAGATGGATTATATGTCGACGTACATTTGTCACAAAAGACAGTCGTATACACATCTTTGAATTGCTCGCCCTCTTGTATTTTAGGCGTATAAAAGCCTTTTGTGTGGGTTTCAGGCGATATAAGTGGCAACGTGGCCTAAAATGCTTGCGATTAAATGTAATTTGTGGCTTTTGTAGATGCAGTCGCATTGAGGCCTGGACCGTCAGCTGTAGAGAGAGAGAGAGAGTGCGAGGCAGAACATGCACCCACAAGACCGCAGCTATGGCTGTGGTAGAGGCCTAATGGGCTGCTGCACTATTTGTTTAATCTTGACTTTTGTTTGAATCCTTAGCCTTCCAAACAAAACGACGTTAATCGGTGCGAGCACAGCTTGGCGAGGAATGTATGGCGTTGATGTATAGGAACATCTCTTTAGTGTGACGGCTGTCAGGACCCCAGATCTGCATCGTAATGTTCTGAAGTGTTTTTTTAAAGAAACCGTGGCTTGCTTTTACACCTTCGCTAGAGGCGCATTCATCCCGCTCCCTGTGAAACGCAGCAAACTGTAATGTCAAAGCTTCCCCTGGTGTCCGCACAGTCGGTGCACCAGCAGATGTTAGAAGTCACCGCAGACGAAGTCGTCGTCGTCGTATTTTGAGACTTGCATTCATGAGCATTGGGACCTAATAGCACTCTATTACACACTTTGTTTGGCATGCCATACAAACCCCTTGAAACCCATACACAAACAATCATAGTCGTAACACGTTGGATGCCACCGTAAGTAAGAATTCAAGAGACCCTTCAACATTTAAATTGAGCATCGTGTTTTTTAACCGAGCACAGCATATCCAGAGCGCTGGTTGGCCTGCGACTACCAGCGGTGCTGCAGAGATGTTAAGTTGTTGCCATTGACCCTGTTGGCTCTGAAGCAGATACATACGCCTGGAGAGTATAGTAGGTTGTGTTGGTATTTAGAGGTAGATATCTGATTTAATTGGTACGAGATGCTGCGTCGACAATGTGTATGTACATCTCTGACTTGCATGGGATGGGAGAGTGGAGTCAGACAGAATGGGTGAAGGACATTAGACCCCGAGTCTCGAGACTCGGGCACAAGTACCTCTGCTGTGTATTTGCTTCAAGACGGAAATCTATGATAGCAATTCAACTTTTAAAATGTATACAGCGCAATTATGACTTTTAAAGAGCCTTATTTTTACGTTACCACCAACTACAGCCCTGCAACTAGACCTAACTTAACCACGACCAGGCCACATCATAATAATAAATCAAGGCTCTTGTAAATAGATGTTAGATTTTATTATGTAATTACGTCCTTTATTAAGCTGGGAACCCCCAAGCAAATAAGTAATTTTCAATGGTCCTGCTTTGGGATGTGTTTGTCATTTACATTCATGAGACGTTGATAAATGGGGATGATAATATCCTATGAAATCAAACATCTGGGTGAAACGTAAAGGTCCGCACAGACAGAATCAATAATCCATTTGGCCACCGCACAGCCCAAGCCGACACAACACGTGGTACTCACTCCCAGGCAGGCTCCCCAGCTGGGCACGAACCAGGCTGACAAGATTGGGTGCGTTCAGGGTGCTTGGGCTGCGTACCCTCATTACAACAATTAAGGTATTGACCTGAATTTACTCTTTCGCCAAACGTGTTCCAATTACAGTTCCTAAAAACGTGTTCCACCAGTGTGTGCCTATCACTCTTTCGCCTATACACATTGCAGCAGACTTTTGTGAATGCAGTACATCCAATTATATACTGTAATTAACTTTTCCTATCATTCGTATTTGAATGTGAACCACTGACGAGGTTGAACCACTGACACCAATTATACCATTCCACACCTGAAGCCATCCTGGGTTTCTGAACATTATTAATCACGTTTCATAGAAGACTGTTTTGGAATTATACGGATCCACCTACAACAGCCTGGGTTGGGCCTCGTGTGTTGAGCTGCTGAGCCACACCTTGAGTGAGTTTTGGAGACCGATGTACCACCATGAAGTCAGGCCACATGCCCTCCGATCATCTAAGCCTAAACCAGCTCCAGCTCTTCCAGCGACACCGTTGAATGACAACGTGGTGTGTTTGTACTGCAGGCGGCGGTGCCGCGGTTGGATTTTATTCATGGATTTTTTTTAGGGGTGCAGTGTTTGCAGATTGTGTCGATGATTTATCCACACGGAGTTATGACTCCGGTTTGCTCTCAAACTGAAGCGGCGGTAGTTGCTTTGAGTCGGGATGGCCGAAGAAGATGTATACAACACATTGATCGTTGTGTATATATTGACGTGCATTTGTAAGGGTACCAACGTATCCAGTTGGGCACAACGTGGGACAACGTGTGGCAGGTTAATCCACACGATCAGTTCGCTGCCTGGATGTTACAAATGTCCACGTATTGCCAGGTGGATGTTGAAAGTCTCGTGACATTACTCAACGATAGAGCATTGCATTCCGATGTCATGATCCAAGTCCCTAAATTAACTCCTTTACGATGTATATTATCACTACCTATGTCAAAGGAGAGAATACACGTCAATGGCATCTCGTTTGTTACATTTAATAAAGAACAATCTATTCATTATTCCACATGAGTACATGATGGTTCAGTGCTGTTTCTCCCCTGACTGATGGATGCGTGTCATTGAGATAATCAAACTATTACAGCGCTTAAATTTTGATTTAAAGCTTTCGTGACTGCAGTAATTCATATTCTTAGTTTTTTCGGTAAAGTCACGTTGAAGAGAAACAACAAAATAACAAAATATATGTAAAACAATAAAAAAATTCTCACGACGTTTCGACCATAACTCAAACGGTCATCATCAGGTGTGTCGGTTTGCATAAATTTATTTTGAAAACGGTATATTTATTTATTTATATATATTAAAAAAATAACGTTTGCGTCACGCGCAACGATTGGCAGTTTGCCAGGACTAGTCCATCTATTTTTTGAAAAGAGGAGGGGGGAGACGAAATTTGTTTTTATGTATGCTGTCTGAAAGCCACTGTAAGCGTGAACAATCAATCAAGAACTGAAATGATTTATCAAATCTTTCCAATGATTGCTAAGATAGAATCCATCTTCTCGGTTGAAATTGTCTCTGTGCTTGTATATGTGGATAGCCTCATGAACGAATCTCTCATGGAAGCCAGATGGCTTACAAAGAACCTCCGTCTTGGAAAAGTCAATGGCATGTGAGCCTACTGAATTAGAACAATGATCTGCTACGGCCGAGGTGTTGGTCCTACCGTGTTTAAGGTCTGCTTTATGTTCACGAATGCGGTCCGAGATATGGCGTTTGGTTTCTCCAATGTAACTACTACCACAGAGGCAACTTAGTTTGTAGACACCAGGGTATTGTATGTCCGGAATCACATCTTTTACAGATGGAACCAGATCACGGATTTTATGTAATGTGTTGAAACGGACCTGGATCTTGTGTTTATTCAAGATTTTGGAGATCTTTTTTGTGATCCCAGCAATGTAGGG